ATGTTCTTTATCAATTATCATTGATTTCTCTGTAATTTTGTTCTCTCGCGTTTGATTTAAATTCCATGATCCATTAGCTTTTGCGTTATTTCACAACAATTCGTATTAGAGCTAGAGCTAGGGTATTCTAAAGTTGATTTGGGGCTTTTATTTGTTTGAATTATCTTTAGAATTATGATGTTGCAGTTATGTCTAGTGTGAAAGTCAAAATTGAGAAATTTAATGAGAGGTACAATTTTGGATTATGGAGTGTTAAGATGCATTTGCTATTAACAACCCAAGATTCACCAAGATATTGGATGGTAAGCATAAGTTTCCGGAAATGATGAAAATGGGTTGATAAGGGAGTTGATGGAGACGGCAAACAGCGTAATCCTATTGAATTTATCGGATGAGATGTTAATAAAAGTGGCTGGGAAGAAGGATGCTGTAGCTTTCCAGGCAAAATTTCAAGCCCTTTATGTAATGATGGGGTCAGATAGTCACCTATACATGTTAAAGAGGATGTTTCAATTTTGATTTGCCAAAGGTACATCCATCAGAGCCCACTCAAATGATTTTAAAAAAATTATCATGGATTTGTAGAATGTCGATGAGGCCCTAACCGATGAAAAACATGGCATGGTGTTATTGGCATCTCTACTAGAGTCATGGGAGTACTTACGGATGTGCTAGTACCGGACATACTACGATTACCATGGAAGATGTAAGGTCCGCTTTGTTCTCTAAGGAGTGGCATAGGAAGTTGCGAGATGATGCTCTAATGCATGATGTAGCTTTGGGACTAGTGATTCAGGGTAAAGATGAGCATCCAATAGCAAAGGTAAAAGTAGGTCAGAGTCACGCTGTAGAAAGCCTAAGGGTCACGTAAAGTGCTTTGAGTATCATAAGAAGGGTGCATGGGGAGAGATTGTCTGAAGTTGAGAAATTGAGGTGGTAGGTAGATTGCTGTACGTAGTATGGCGAACATTGCCAAGGAGTGCACTAGTTTCTTAATTCAATAAACCCAAAATATGAACTTCCTTTTTGTCGATGCGGAGAACGTCTTGTGTGTACCTACAAGTTCGTTAGGAGACAAAAGGGTACTAGATTCCAAGTGTTCTTATCAAATGACGCCTCATGAAAATTGGATTACTACTTACTAGACTGCAAGGCAGAGGTGATAGAGTTCTCATGGGTAATAATGCAACTTGTGAGATTGTGGATTATAGGGACAATTAAGATACGGATGCATGATTGGGTAGAGCGCATATTGACAAATGTGAGGCATGTATTATAGGTCAAGAAAAATCTTATTTCTTTAGGGACACTACTACAATGTTGAAGGTGAAGACTAAAAATCTCTCGAGGTGCCGTGATAGTGATAAAGGGCAAGAATGTGAATAATCTCTATCATTCACTTGTAGAGATTGTGGCAGTAATTGCTATAATTTCATTAGGCGAGTCAAACTCAAACTTGACTTAGTTGTGACATGTGCAGGTGGGCACATGAGTGAGGCAGGTTTGATAGTACTGAGTGAGAGAGGGTTGCTGAAGGGTCAGAAGACTGGAAAGCTAGACATGTATGAGTACTGTACCTACGAGAAGTAGCGCTAGGTTAATTCAATACAACTATGTATTCAACCAAGCAACCATACATTTATCCAGAAGTTTATGGCCTATCTCTAGTTCCTTCAAAAGGAGGTGCCTCACATATGCTGACATTGATTGATAATAATTGGACGAAGGAATGTGTATACTTTCTTAAGCGCAAATCCAAGGTGCATAATATGTTCAAGAAGTTTAAGGCACTAATTAAAAAGCAGTTTAATAAGCAGATCAAACAATAATTGAGTTCTACCAGAAGAATGGTTTATGAGACATGGCACGATGCCTGCGACATCACATCAGAATGGCTTCACAGAACATAATAATAGAACTTTACTTGTGCAAGCTCTGTGCATGTGAAAACATGCACATAAAAAGTGATTTTGGGTTAAAGCAATCAACATGACTTGTCACCTAGTTAACCAGTCTCCATCATTTATTATCGAGTGGAAGACTCTTGAAAAAGTACACCTGGAAAAACTTGTTTGCCATTCCAAATTATGAGTACTCAAATGTCCTGTGTCTGCTCATGTGAGTGATGATAAGCTTGAGTCGAGAGTGAAGAAATGCATATGTATGGGTTATGCACATGGGATAAAAGGTTAACGGCTGTGGTGCATTGAACCCAGATAACCCGATTGAATCAGCAAAGACATGATCTTTGACATGATTGCTATGCTTCGGCAAAGGATTTAAGACAACTAGTAGAGCAAATGGATCACGACGTGATAGTAGGGTGGAGTTTTAGGTTGAGACTCTAGAGATATCATAGATAGTAAAGGTTGGGACTGCAAATGAGGCCACAATTTCCTGAAGTCAGTGCTATTAAAACCAACAGAGCTACAACGTAGTATAGCTGTGGGCAGACAAAGAAGGCAAAATCAAACAACTGGTACGTTATGGTCATACAAATATTGCTTATGCAGACTGTAAGTGACAAGATACCGACAAATGAGCTTTCGTCTTACTCTAAGTGACACGTAGTGTTAAGTCATAATATTGGCTAGCAGCTATGAGCGAAGAGATATAATCACTCCTACAGACTTAGACATAGAAGCTGGTAAAGTACCCAACAGTCAAAAGATTTTCTGGTGCAAATGGGTTTACAAACGAAAAATGGACATTCTTGGTGTCAAGGTGGCGAGTTAAGGCGAGCCTTGTTGCAAAGGGATATACTCAGTGGAAGAACATTGACTAAAATGAGGTGTTCTCTCCTGTAGCAAGACATACTTTTACTCAAGTATTACTTGCCTTAGTTGTTGTATATGATCTTAAGTTAGAGCAGTTGGATGTAAAAACTATGTTTCTTCATTATGAGTTGGAGGGGCGGATTTACATAAGGCAGCTAAAGGAATTTGCTATACTGGGTAAGGAAGACCCTATTTGCTTATTAAAGAAATCTTTGTTCGGGCTAAAATAATCTCATAGATAGTGGGATAGGTGTTTTGATGCTTTCATGACTAGTAAGATTTATTCGAAAAGTCAGTCGGATGGTTGTATTTAGTTTCGAAGATTGAAGGGTTGATATATCCATTATTCTATGTCGATGACATGTTGATAGCAGCTAGACACATGTCCTATATTGATGTGTTGAAGTGACTGTTAATGTTGAGTTAAATATCAAAGATTTGGGGGCAACAAAGAAGATATTGAGTTTGGAGTTTTCATGTGATAGGCCTACAAGAGTTTTGTGTCTGTCTCAAAAGAAATATATTAAGAAGATTGTGGCACATTTTAACTTGCAGTAACGAAGCCTGTGAGTACACCTTTAGCCGAGCACTTCAAACTTTCAAATAAGTTTTACCATGGTTGAGGAGTAGGAGGAGCATATATTACATGTTTCATACTCTAGTGTAGTGCTTAGTATTATGTAAACCATGGTATGCACTAGCTTTCTTAGCCGTTACATGAGGCATACTGAAAAGACTTATTGGGAAATTATTGGGAAACTATGAAGTGGATCCTTAAAAATTTAAAAGGGATAACAGACGTTGGTATTGTGTACATGAGTGATGACAGTAGTAGTGGGACTATGGGTTATGTAAATTCGGATCACTCTGTTGACTTGGATGACCGTAGATCTTTAACGAGTTGTGTTTACGCTAGTAAAAGGTGTAGTGAGTTGGAAGGTGTCGTGGCAGGATGATGTTCCCTTGTCTTTGATTGAGGCATAGTACATGGCACTTACCTTTATAGTAAAGAAGGCATGTCTAAGAGGTTTGCTCTTAAACTATGGGTTGGAATAGAAAAGCGGTGTTATGCATTGTGACAATCAAGGTGCGATATATCTGGTTTTAAATTCAATTTATCTTGAGAGAACAAAGCATATCGACATTAGGTATTATTTCATCTAAGATGGTGTGACCAAGGGTAAGGCTGTTTTGAAGAAGATAGCAATAGCATAGAACCTAGCAAACATGATGACGAACCTCATTCCATTTGGCGAAGCTCGAGCCATCTGTGTGCTCAATTAGTGTTTGGAGAATGAGTGTCCATCAGGGCATTGGGAGAGCTGGAATGCTTGATGTGCACCATGACTTGGCTGCAAATGTCGGGTCAAAGAGGAATGTGTTTCGAGTTTGATTTAAATTAGGAAAGTTCTTATTGGGCTTCTGGTTGACCAAACGTTTGAAGTAAACAACAAATCCTTTCTGGAGTTGCTGATAGAGTCAGGCAAAAAAGTCGGCAAACAAAGAGCTTCCCCATTTAATAATTACACGTGAGTGTTTATCAAGGGCTTGTTTTGGTGCCATTGTTGATGCAATTAGGCAAAGTTATCGTCTTCGTGGAATGTGATTATACACCCAATCGGTCCGGAAACTCTCGTCCTAGAGCAAATTGATTAGTGGTTCTTTGTTTTGTTGCCGTTGTTGATGTGATTAGGCAGAGTTGTCTTCTTCGTGGGATTTGATTTTACACAACGAAAAAGACAACTTTTCCTGTCTACATCCCCAACGACACCTAAACAAACCTATGTATATATTAAAAAGGAAACTCTTTGTTCACCGACTCCAACATGGAAATTAATCATCCAACTCCCCAAGGATTTGTCGTTGCTTTAAATGTTTGGCCAACCAAGAGTCCAATTAGAACTCTCCTAATTTATATTGCATGGCTGAATTTTAGATCGGATTTCGTTCGCGGGGCCAAACTCGAGATATTTTCTAACAAATCACTTGGGTCAGGCTTACCAATTAAAGAACGAGACAGGCGCCCGTGAACGAGGCACATGCTAAGAATTCAATTCTCGAGACCACCAATACAACTAACCACAAGTTCAGTTAAACTATACCCAAGTTTTGGCCCGCGCTTACTTGGTCCTCAGATTAGCTGGATATTTCACGAGATTTAATTTCTCCTACTCAAGGTGGTTCCCTCTCAACAATAATTTGCTGATCTTTATATATTAAGCCTACCTCTCTTTATCTTGTATGAGCGTATCTAATGAGAAGATTGGACATTCAATGGCAGACAATCTTCCATTAATTTCCATAATCTTCCTTTCATTTTGCTATGTAGCTTCAAGCTTTGATGAAGTGTCCTTTCTCCAGTGCTTTTCACTTCAAGCCAACTCCACTTCCAAAACCACCACAACAAGAGACGATCCAACTTATACCTCTCTCCTGCAGTCTACCATTCAAAACCTCAGATTCTTGAACACATCCATACCAGACCCCCAACTCATTGTCAGCCCGATCCATCCATCTCACATACAAGCAGCCATAGTATGCTCCCAGAAGCATGGCGTGCGGATGCGGGTGCGGAGCGGGGGCCACGACTACGAGGGCCTCTCCTACGTATCCGAAGTCCCCTTCATCTTAATTGATCCCATGAACATGAGGTCGGTTGCAGTGGACGTCGAGCAAGAGAGTGCATGGGTGGAGAGTGGAGCAACAATAGGAGAATTGTACTACGAAATTTCTCAAAAGAGCGAGGTTTTGGGATTCTCAGCTGGTACTTGTCCTACTGTTGGAGTTGGAGGACATGTTAGCGGAGGCGGGTTCGGCAGGATATCTCGAAAGTACGGTCTAGCATCCGACAACGTGATTGACGCCAAAATGGTCGATGTTAATGGAAAGGTTTTGGATAGGAAATCAATGGGTGAAGATCTTTTTTGGGCTATTAGAGGAGGTGGAGGAGCAAGCTTCGGTGTGATCTTTGCATGGAAAATGAAGCTGGTTCATGTCCCTCCTACCGTTACTGTGTTTGAATTAGAAAAGAATATTGAAGAAAATGCAACTATGCTTCTCTACAAGTGGCAAAATATTGCACACAAGCTTCAGGAAGACCTCCTCCTCGACGCTTACATAGGAGTTGTCACTCCATCTTCAAGTTTGGCGAACAAAACAATCAACATCTCTTTCAGGGCGTTGTACCTTGGCGGGATTGAAAAGATCCTGCCTTTAATTCAAGAAAGCTTTCCCGAGTTGGGTTTGACGCGCGAAAGCTGCATGGAGATGAGTTGGATACAATCCGTCCTTTATTTCCGAGGATTCTCTCAAGACGAGTCCACCAGAGTCTTGCTCAACCGGACTCAACCGTCCAAATCCTTCTACAAGGCGAAATCCGACTACGTGACGACGCCCATTCCGGAAACAGCTTTGCAAGGTCTATGGAGTAAGCTCATCGAATACGAGACGTGTTACATGATTTTATCGCCTTATGGCGGGGTAATGAGCCAGATCTCCGACTCGGAGACTCCTTTTCCTCACCGGAGTGGGAACATGTACAAAATTCAGTACATGGTTACTTGGGACAGTGAAGAGGAAAGCAGTCAGCACATCAATTGGATGAGGGAGCTGTACGACTATATGGCACCTTATGTTTCCAGGTTTCCAAGAGCAGCTTTTCTGAATTACAGGGATCTTGACTTGGGGAGGAACAACAATGACAACAATACTAGTTATGCTGAAGCAAGTGTCTGGGGTTTGAAATACTTCAAGAGCAATTTCAGGAGACTGGCGGAAGTGAAGACGGCCTCCGATCCGACTAACTTTTTCCGGAACGAGCAAAGCATTCCCGTGTTGTCACCAAGAAGCCGATAAGCTTGTTGCCTTCAGATTGTATTAGGGATTATTAGCCCGTGCTCTGGGGGCAGAACAACATCATCACTCTAAATAAGTGCTGTGACACACTTAGAAACTATTCAGTGACTATTGCGACATAACTAGACAACAGCTTTCTCATTTCCTTTAAGTGAACATATAACCAGAAGGTCTCGAACTAACAACACATTCAAATAGGCTAACGTATGGCTTGAAGGGAAGGTTTTTTTTTTTTTTTTTTACTTTTTCAATTCAAATAGGTTGCTGGGACTGGAGATTTTGGGACGATGTGATGCCCTAAGTCTCGTATCGGATCGGATGGGTGAGGTTTTGAGACGTTAGTGCCAAGTAAAATCCACTTCCAAAATGATCACCACCTTGTGTTGTCATTTCGAATACTCCTTTTAAGGGTTCGGCTCCCGTGAAATGGATCAGATTCTTGCATATAAGGACCATCATGCCGAGGATGCGGACAAATGGTCCGATAAATATTTGAGTGGCCCTAATTACGATGAAGAACTCATCGACCCAAAAGGTAAAAGAATAAGAGTCGTAGCGCCTTGCCTTCCATCACGGGAGATCGGATGCTCGCACGGTAGGAGCACGGCTACGATGGTTAAAAGGGTTTTGAAAATCAGTTTGCAAATATAAGAGATCGAGTCGGCACTAATCAATTTGAAAAGTAAACCGAGCTAATTGGACACCTAGGTGCACGCGTGAGGAACTAGTCGTGTGTGAACGATTGCCAGAGAAACTGCGGTCGGGGAGTTTGGTTATGCTGAGGAAGGGGTTAGCGGGCTCACATCTCACTTTTGGTACCACATTTTTCAGTTAAGTATGCAACTATCAAGCAATTTCTTGAAATCGAATGCAAGTTTGATCTTTCCGGAGATGTAATCCATTAAAAAGAAGAAAACTTCATGTCATTCGACATCCTCGACATGACTCCAAGTGCCATGTGTGTTCGTATTTTTAAAAACATGATTAATGACATGCAAGTATGCAAAAGTCCTAATTTATCATGTATATACATGTGTAATTAACTAAATAACGTGTTATTTACTGATGCATATGCTTGATTTTGAAATTAACGAAGCCATGTTATTATTTGGCCTACTTCCACTATGGTAATTTGGTCCTTTCGGCATATTCAATATCGGGTTTTTGAAAGCTGAAAATTTATTTATGGAAGATATCTATGATCTTTTTGAAAACATCTTCTTCTTTTTGTGTGGAAAAATCATGACATTGAGATTAACAGCCATAATAACGATCTAGAAAAATATGAAATTTTTCCGAGGATTGTTTTAGCGGAATGGTGACTATGACCACATATTTCTGTATTTTGCAAATACTAATTTCAGTATTTCGGCTGTCTAATTATTCATAAAAAGTCTAATTTATAGTCAGCAAAGCAACAGCTACTCATTTTATTTCTAACATGATTCAAACATTACGATGACTCGTTTTATTTTTAAAAAGAGGGTTTAGACCCTTTACCCGATACTCCGCCGGCTTCTTCAGTACAGACGCGGTCAAATTGGCCGGAATTTTCGAGCTTCTCCAACCTCGGGGATTTCCTTGCAAAATAAGATCAAGATAAATAAGTATCAAGAATTTGAGAGCATTTGACTAAAATTTTAAAAAAGATTTGGGAGAGTTCACCTTGTGGAAAATAGCAAATGGAGGCCGCCATTTATACAGCTGCAATGGAAGCAAAAGTGATTCAGATCCGCCGGGAACCGGATTCGGGCTGCTAAAGCGGGCTCCATGTGCTCAACCAGCTGAATCGGGATGAGACTCGACGAACTGGGCCTGCGTCGGACTGATTTTTTTATCACAAAAAATCCAAAACTGGTACATCTGTGACCTTCTGTTAAATTGGATTAATCTCACGAAAAACCACAAATTGGTAAACCCGTGACAAACGGAAGGGTAAAATCCCAAATTGGTACACCTGTCAATTGCCACGTGTCGTCAAACTCAGCAATTTGACTGTAAAATTTAACGGAAACTAACGGAGGGTAAATATGTCATAGATGTATCAGTTTGGAGTTTTTCGCGGTATTAACCCTTGAATATTCACATATTTTCTGCCAACTTTAAAGATTACCTCTTGTACTTTGTGAAACTAAAAAGAACAAATAAAAAGCCTCCATTGAATTTGCTTTCCCAAATATAAAATATAAAATATATTTACGTGAAAGTAAAAGTGACGAACGGTTTATTTAGGTATACTTAATCGAATTGTCTTCTTTGGAGCTAAAGCAGGAAGTAACTAAGTGTGGTTGATGAAATGAGTTAGATGAATTAATGTTTTCTCGTCCTATTCAGATTGCTACAATTTAAATGAGAATATTGAAATATTACCAGCAAACTTATTATAAGTTCTTAAACTATGTAATCATATTTACTGCTTGATGCGGTTTATCACTTCTCACGACAAATCAACTAATTGACGGTTTCATAATAGGATCCGAGATCGCAAAACTGGTAGTTTGCTATCGGGGGTGAGGGTTTTCCCGTCAGATCCGGGCCAAGAGAACTGTATCGACATTTCAGCGACGCAGCATCCATGATAAGTTTCGGAGGCCACATGAAAGTGGCCACAAACGAACCTTCTTCGCCAATGCGAAGTGGATTGTTTCCAGATGCAAGATACGATCCTACACCAGGCAAATCCAATAAATCGATCATTCGAACAAGTTGGTAACTCCTACAGATGCATACATTCACTCAGACAGATTTCTCCAAAATGTCATGGCGTGAAGAGTACAAAATGCCAGCGTCTCCGGAAAACATATGGGATACAGCTTCTTGTCTGGTGGACACGGTAGATCACTCTTGTTGCTTGGAAAATGACATTCGGCCAAACATAAAATAAAGGGGATGTTTACTTTCGTTTCCTTCTTGTTTTTATTAACGAGGTGTTCGGGGTTCCAAGATCATCCAATTAATGTTGGGGTGGGGTTCATACTCCCATCCGACAGGAAGGCACGGCGGTCTCGCTCCCTGGTGAACGGGTGGAGGTCTGGGGGGCCGCCCCAGCAAGAGTCGCGAGGACATCGCCCATGAGCCTCCAAAGGGCTTTTAAAGTTTGAGCTGGCAAAAATACATTAGGTTTAAGACTTTTTGGATAATTTTCCTATTATTTCTTTATGACCAACAAAAGCTGCCCAAAAAGCAGCTAAAAATGTTAGTACATGTCTCAATCCAATGACCCGCCATGCATCTTCAATCTTGATCCACTGATTTACGTTAAGTAAACAAAACAGATTATCCACATTGCCCTAAGAAATAGGGACGGTGGTCAAAAGAAAATCTAACCGTAACTATGTTGATGTATGGTCAATTTCCGCCTCTCATGCGTAGGTTATATTCGTTCTCGACGTTCAATTTGTGCGGTTACGTCGAATTCTTTGTTGATGCTGATCTTCACCATCATCCCCCCTTAGGTTTTTTATCTTTGGGATTCTTTTGTGGTACAATATAGCAAGTTTCTTCGCTCTCAAGAAATAGCTAGTTAGTAAACATTGTATAATGCTATATGTAACTAAGAAAACGTTTTCAAAATCAACCTTCAGATTTTTCACCTAGAAAGAAACTTCTGGCTACTAACTTCTGACTGATCAACTGAAGATATTATCTTGAGGATGAGAGTCTTCTACTGCAAAACATGGACACTGGAAAGAGATATGACAACCATAAGAACCTTCTACAGATACCAAAGCAGCAACCTCAAATTTACTAGTGTGATTCAATTGGGTGCATAGTAAATGATCCATTTTATTTAACTGATAAATCTAAAACAATTCAATACAAAAAAAGGTAGAACTAGAATGTAATAAGTAAAAAAGAGTGATCTTCTTCAAAATGCCTCGTGATCTTCAATCGACTTTGCGCTTTAGTATAATTACCAGAAGTAAATGCTATACCTTGTTTCTAATATTTCTTATTAATGTCACAATGTGATTGAGCTTGAGACGAGAGTAACATTACTTTGCCCAACAAGGGAAGTTTAACTTGAAGGGGAAGGAGGTCAAAAGTGGATTGTCTTTGACATCACTCTAAAGTTGTTCTAACAACCGATGGTATGGAGCTGTTCCAGCTTCACCATGTGTTAAGCTATGCATTTTCACTACCAGATTAGATAGGAACACATGCTTATATATTCTCTAGGAGATTGGTCATGCTGCATCCACAAGCAGTTGAAACTACATCGACAAATTTTCTCAACCTTTACACTCATCAGTCTCCTCTGTTCTGCTAAAAGAGAAGTGAGGTTGAGCAGAGAGAAAATGGGTGCTTCTTTCCTCCAGTCATGTCCGCTTGCCGGTTTCTTTCTTGTCGCGTTTTTTGCCTCATGCTTCTCTCCTGAGCCTGCTCTTGTCGCTGGTGAAGGCGTGACCAGGCATTACAAGTTCAATGTATGCACATGCTGCATCCCTGAAACCATTTTTGAAATTAGATTGTATTCTACACATGAACTGTGTATATGATCTGTACATGGACTTGCACGATGACAATTGCTATTGTGGTTTTTTCTTTCTAACCACGTGAAAATGTGTTTGGCAGGTCGTGTTCCAAAATGTGACGCGTCTGTGCCACACCAAAAGTATGGTCACTGTAAATGGGAAATTTCCTGGCCCTCGAGTCATTGCCAGGGAAGGCGACCGACTTCTAATTGAAGTAGTTAACCATGTCCCAAACAACATCTCAATTCACTGGTATGACAAATTGCACTGAGTTGATAGCCTACAAGTAATTATTGAAGTAGTCAGAAGAGGCACTTTCATAGTCTAGTCCTAGGCTGTTATTCAACTGAGAGGATTAATTTCCTTTAATTAATTTGTTACACAAAACAGGCATGGAGTTCGACAACTTCGGTCAGGATGGGCAGATGGTCCTGCATATGTGACTCAATGCCCGATACAAACTGGCCAGAGTTATGTGTACAACTACACCATTGTAGGCCAAAGAGGCACTCTTTGGTGGCATGCGCATATATCGTGGCTACGCTCAACTCTCCACGGTCCTCTGATCATCCTTCCCAAGCATAATGCTTCTTACCCGTTTGCCAAGCCTCACAAAGAAATCCCCATCATCTTTGGTAATGCATTAGAGATGAGA